TTATATTTCCTTTTTCATCTATAGTAGACATCTTAGTGATGTGGTGACTTTGTCAATCAATTGTTGCAAGATCTGTATAGCTGAACATCTGATCCTTGCCCTGGAAAAACCTTACCTCCTGTTATGCTATTGTCAAGTTTTAATAATAGTCATATATCTAGGTTTGGCTATCTCAAAGGTTTGACAGATGACCTAATGTTTATATAATATTCAGTGCTCATTTTTTATTTTTTTCATTGCTTATTTAAAAGAATAAAAATGCATGGATATTTCTAGAAGACTAAAATGAAGTTCTTAAAAATATATAAAAGGTTCAGGTACCAAAATCTTCAATCTTGACACACTACACACTATACCATCCCTTTTTATCTTTTTCTTTGTCCTCCTAACAAGGTACCCATTATATATTATTTGTTTAAAATTTTTTTTACATTCAATATTATTTTATATTAGTACAACATAGTGGTTAGACAATCATATACTTTACAAAGTGTACCCCTGACACTGCCAATACCTACCTGACACCATACCAACCTGCACTTTTCAACCTCTTCACCTTTTTCACCCAGTCCCCCAATCTCCTTTCCAACCAGCGGTCTGTTTTCTATATCTATTTTGTTTATTTCTGTTCTATTTATTTGTTTATACTGTTCTTTAGATTTCACATACAAGTGAAGTTACATAGTATTTGTCTTCTTCTGAATGATTTATATTTCACTCAGTTATATATTATTAATTGAAGTTGGTTAAATGTATTGATGTAGTTACTGTTTTTTATAATGTCAAAGCCCAGGTGAGTTAATTGCAATATAATTTATTTTAGATAAAGTATGCAATTGTTTACTAGTGGGCACTACAACTGTATGAGAAAAGCATTAGAACTGCAAAGAGGAAAGGCATAATGAAATTTTTTATAAGCCAAAACCGGTTTGGCTCAGTGGATAGAGCATCAGCCTGCGTACTGGAAGGTCCCGGGTTCGATTCCGGTCAAGGGCATGTACCTTGGTTGCGGGCACATCCCCAGTGGGGGGTGTGCAGGAGGCAGCTGATCGATGATTCTCTCTCATTGATGTTTCTAGCTCTCTATCCCTCTCTCTTCCTCTGTGTAAAAAAATCAATAAGATACATTAAAAAAAAAAATATTTGTTATGGGGTATATCTTGGACCTGGGTTGTGCCTGACTCTCCCTGGTATATGTGACCAAAATCTACAGAAGAGAAAATACAGCATAACATACATGTAAAATCACTTATAGACTCTTCCTTTTAAAAACGACATTCATGGCTGATTAAATGGCCCAGATACACCCTGTTTTATTAAAATGATAATAATAATGAGTTTTCTATGATGACTAATTCAGTTTAATAAAACCTTTCTCAGTTCCTGCCCCTAAACTGTGTGTGGAAGGAATGGGGGAGTAATGTACCTGATTGTACATTTTCAGAGCAAATCTCAATTTTTGTAACATTATTATTATTTGCTGGTTTAACATGAAATTTAATAAATGAACAAGGAGGAGAAAAAGACCAAATATTTCAGCTGTAACAGAGCTCTTTAGAGATTGTATTGTAGCAATAAGCTTTCAAAACGTTCTTAAAAACATGGCCAAAAACCCAACTGAATTCACAAGAGCTTATGAGAAGGTTGGAACTTGGAACTTGAAAGAATATAAAAGGGTTGAGGACAGAGATGTGTGTCATACCTCTTTATTTCCCCTAGCTTGCATTGATTTGAATATATTTACTTGGGAATTTTCCATCATCTTTATAAAAAACAGAAATGTATACTTTGAGAAATGTGATTTATAATGGCATCATTATCCCATAATGGAAAACACTGAGTGTTTGGTAGTCTAGCAGAATATGCCCATTAGAAATAACCTGTAGCTCAGGAGACCACAGGGTTGCTATGACAACCAAGCAAAAGAGTTTAATAATAGCTCTCTTTCAAAGCTGGAAAATTGACAGAAAGATGAGAGCTCTAATGCAGTGGCTTTCATATAAGCGCAAGCAAGCACCAAATACATTTATTTCTTTGTTCAACTAATATTCATCACACGCCTCTGCTGTGCCTGGCATTATGTTAGGACCTGTGGAAAAGACAGATGTGGTACATCCCTCCATGATGGAGTTAGTACAGGAGACAAATAATAAAGAGCAAACAAATCAATAAACTGAGTAATTCTAGCATGTTAGAAGGTCATACAGAAAAGAAAGTAATGGGACCATGACACTAAATAAGCAGTATATATATATATATATATATATATATATATATATATATATATATATACACACACACACACACACATACAGACTCTGGAGAAGAACCCAGTCATAGTATATATTAAAAATCTTGTTGCGTGGCTGGCATGGCTCAGTGGTTGAGCATCAACTTATGATCAGGAAATCACAGTTTGATTCTGGGTCAGGGCCTGTGTCCAGGTTGTGGGCTCAACCCCCACTGTGGGGCATGCAGGAGGCAGCTGCTCAATGATTCTCATTATTGGTGCTTCTCCTCTCTCTCCCTCTCCTCTTTCTCTCTGAAGTCAATTTTTTTAAAAATCTTGGAATATTCCATAATATAATGACAAGACTAGACTTTGCCTCATGATCTAAGGAAACAGTATGCAATTAGTTTTGTTATTTAATCAGAACAAGATCAACTGCCCTTGCCTTTTCTGTACAGAGCAACCATAGGAGCCCAGGGAGCTCCCCAAGTCTTTCCAGGGTGGGAAGCCTGGTGTATGTTGTGTCAACTGCAGTAACCCCAGAAATGGTGTTATCATTTTGGCTGCCATGTGATAAAATCTGGCCTGACACATGGTTAAAAGCAATGTCAGATTGCTATTTAGCCTAATAGTCTTTCTCCCCCATTCTGTAAGAAGGAATCCCTGAATTTTAACCATATACATGTTGACTCAAAATAAAAACTGTGCCTCCCATGCACTTTTGCAACAAGGTGTGGCCATTGTAGGTAAGGTTTGACCAATGTCCTGTGACCGGAAGTGATGTGCACAACTCCCTAATAGAGAATGTCATGCCCTCTACTGCTTCCTGATCCTGGAATATGAACTTGAGGGTGAACAAGCTTGGACCATGTAGGCCAGGACAACATTCTGAGGACAGGGAAATAGGAAATCCTGGTCTCAGATGACTTTCTAGATCAGAGCCCAACATAATGGATTGAGTTTTTATATCAGAAAAGTCTGTCTTATTAAAACAACTACAGGCTTCTGTATATATAGCCACATCTGAATCCTAACTAATGTATAAGGTCAGAGAAAGAATGTGATATCTTATCTGTACAAAGAAATCCCTGAAGTCACCAAGATTCTATTCAGGCTGTGCCTCAAATGAGTGCCATTGCTGGATTTTCTCAGTTATAATGAGCAAAAAATTCTATTTTACTTTTTTAAGATCTAAATTAAGGTAATATTGCTTAAAACTGGGAGTCCTGGCTCTTCTCTTTCTTTAAGGCAAAAACACATCTGTTTTGGAAGAAATACTTTGCCTGACATTTACAGTAAGTCCTTTTAAACTAATGTTCCCAGAATTAAGAAATAGTGTACCCCAAAAAATATTCCTAATTGAGATATGGTGGCTGAAAGCAGCAATTTTAGCTTTGGAGGTAAGAATGTAAAAGTTTGACTCCATTAGAGTTAGGTGACACCCCACAGGGTAGGTTGTTTTAGGAGAAAATATATTTCAGATATAGATGAAATGTTATACAAAACATCTGTTCCCCACTCTTCCTGTGCCTAGGACCCCACTGAGTCTCTAACGTTAAAGATGTGAGGAATGGGAGTTTGATGAAACAGACCCAGATTACGGCTGGCTCAGAGTCATGGAGGGGGTCTTTCTCCCTATTATGCATGAAACCTGTTGCCTCCATGGTATTCTGAGGTTTGGCAGCTTTAGGGAACAGGATCTTTTGTTCTGTTATTATTAAATTTTTTATATTTTTATTAAATTAATTTTTTACATTATTATTAAATTGATTACTAAACCCTCTAGGTTCAAAAAATAACATTCTCTTAGGATCCTAGTGGTAGTCACATTTTCTATAAACAATTCTGCCTCTTAATACTATCCTGCTTTATTATTTACTAAAATAAATGTTCCTTTAAAGTTAGTTAGAATGATGAAAAGGGTGTAGAAGTTTTTAAGCTGGTATAGGAGGAAGAGACTGTCACAAGTGCTCTTACCTTGAGTCTGATGAGCTTCAAAGGTGTCATAAATAATTGAAAATATAAAATTATGAATATATGCCTTTGGGGAGAATGGGTCAAAAGCTTTCCCCAGAGCCCTGGCTTGTTTTGCTCAGCGGTTAGAATGTCAGCCTGGGGGTCCTATCCCCACAGGTAGTGGGTTCTATCCTGGTCAAGAACATGTACCTCAGTTGAAGGTTCTATCCCCAACCCCAGTCAGAGAATGGGCAGGAGGCAATCAGTTGATGTATCTCTCTCTCTCTGTCTCCCTCCCTCCCCCCCTCTCTCTAAAGATAAATGGATATCCTCAAGTGAGGATTTTTTAAAAAGCTATCCCCAGATTCTCAACAAGATCAGGAACAGATAATTTTTTAATTCCAGCTCAATTAAAAATTATTAAAGGGGCTATTTCACTCTCTAATCCATATATAGACAAGCTTATTGCTAAATTAATTCCTACTTCATCCTTTTGGAAACCATAATGCCCTTTATTATTTGAACTAAAAAAATAAAAAATAAAAAAAACTTGCAAAAATGTGGGCTCTTTGAGCTTCTCAGACTATGGAAAGATACAAAAAATAATTACCGTTACTCTAAATCTTATAAGTCCTGCAAACAACATTATATCGAGAATTTTCTAAAAGATGTGATGATGAATTGGAAAACTGAGATAAGGATGCTTTTCTGTCAAAAGGGATTTCCACACTGCTAGTTAAGCCATTCACTGCACAAACAAGTATTGTATTACATTCAGCAGAAACACTGAATTAAAAAGTCAGAAAGTCTGGGATTTAGTACCAGTTTTATTTGTTATTAATCACATACAAATCACTTATCAATAAAATAATGATTAACATCTATTCCCTACTTCACAAATATATCACGAAACCAAAATTCTTCCTAAGAAACCTCTTTGTAAACAAAGATATTACTACCATTTAGCTTAGGCTTTAACTGAAAGGTTGAAAATGGCAACCTGGAGAATTTTTCTTATATAAACTATAGATGAATAATTTGGATGAATTATCCATTGTCCTATTTCAACATGAAAAAACAGCTATCAAAAGAAGTCAATGGTGAGGAAAAGTTGGGGAGAGGGGGGAACCTACTGAGAAAGAGCTTTGTGTTAAGTACAGTGCTTAGAACAACCCTGATATCAAATGGAACAAAATTTAGCCTTAGGCAACTGAAAGCATATCTGACCTTTTAAAAGAATGCATACTGCTAAGACAAGCATCTTATTTCACAAAAAATAAACAGGAATGTTCTGTAAAATCTTCAAATGGCCCATAAAAATGCCTCCGAATACTTTTTTTAAAACTTGTGTGTCTCCCTCTCTTTATTTTCATCTGATAGTATATCATTCAAAAATTCTGTTTCCCACCTGAGAGAGCACATGCTTTAGTACTCTGCCACAGTATATGAAATATTAGCATTCTCTCACTAGCAAATAGGAATAGCATGTTATTAAATAAAGATTTAGGAAGATAATTCTAATTGGGTATAGGTAATTTTATACACTATAAGCATCTGGTCATTTATTATGAATAATGACAACCATATCTAGTAAATCTTAAGAGTTAAGCATTTATATTTTCTGATATTTAACAATGTTGGTTTTATGTGATGTAGTCTACTTCTGGACTTTTCCTTACATAGTAACAGAAACAAAGACTAAAGCATTAATTCACAGACAAACTTGGAACAGATACAAACACTCTAATAAAATAACCATATACACCACTGCTTAGGGAAATATTTTAGATGAATATACTTTCACTATTGGCCCCCCAAAGCCGTCATCCACGTATGTTATCTAACTGTAAACTCTTAATACAAAAATACCATTCAGCTACTAATAACATTTAGTGACTTACAGCACTGACAGAATATTTCAGTGCTACACAAAACAATTCTCTACTTAAAACTTAAAGTTTTAAAGTCCTTTGCTGGCATTTGATTTTATAGTTGATAGATACAATAACTACTAATCAATAAAATACTGTTCTTAGCTTATACATATTTTCAAAACCAATATTACCTCACAAAACAGTAAAGAATAATCATACATCTTGCTGACAAATCTTATAAGATGGACACCAAAACTATACAGTCAAAATATTTTGAGAATCACAATAACTTTTTCAGACAATAGACAAAAGTTTACACAATCACGTCCAATAAACAAAAGATTTATTCCTTTGAATCAATGAAGCATGTACCAAGTATAGATAAAACACATGAATTTACAAAGCAAGTTACTGGGGTTTTGTTTTTGTTTGTTTTTTAAGTTTTGTAGATGATTAGTGACACTGCTAGAATGGAATTCTTTTTAGATGGAAACTTGGTCACTATTTGCAAATACACATTTTATATTACAAATTTAAAACTGAAATTTCTTTTCCAACAGTAGAATCTTGTAGGGTTTTTTGTTGTTGTTTTTACTACCAGTGAGCTTATGGCCATTCTGTACAGTATTACATTCCTTCACATTATAAATAACCATTCAGTCACATTAAACATATATGCATCTTTTTTTTTCTTCATAAAAGGGGAGGAAATAACTAAAATTTAACAAATTATAGTTAAGTTAGAACACACATTATATAAATATACTAGTTTAAAGTTTTGGAATCCTATTACACTGTTCTGAAGAAAAATATATACTTTCAAAACCCTACCTAGTAATCCCTATCCAGTTTTCTATTTTAAAAATTAAAATTCCAGTTACTGTACTTTAAACAGAATGGGAGGTAAAATTATCATAATCAAATATAGACATATTAAATAATCAAACAATATTGGATTTTTAGAACAGTAAATTATTAAATTGGTTTATTTTTGGAGTGCTTAAATTCTCTAACCTTAAATTACATTAGTATTTCAAATAATACCCTTTCTAAAGAAAACCTGAAATTAATCAACATTTTTCCAGTAAAGGGAAAGGGTATATCTTTTAGATACTTTCCAAAGCAATAAAAACACCTTAGTGTTTCAACCTATCTATAACAAATTCTGCTACTCCTGTATATTTCACTGAGGTGCTACCTGTACCCACAAATCATCATCAGATAAAGAACTTGAACTTCCTGTCTCAGAATCTAGTTCACTGAATCCACCTAAATCCCATTCAGTACTAGATTCACTTGGTATTTCCTCTTCCTCAGTGAGGAAACTCTGACCAGGCTCAAGACAGGAAGGATAAACACGAGCTGAGAGGCAGAAAAAGTTAGAATCAAATTGGAAGAGGCCTAATGTAGTACCTATATTAATCCACTGGTCTCCACTAATGTCATATTCATACACAGTCACTCGGTTCTTTTTCCATTGTGGGGTGCGTGAGGTAATCAGCAACAGTTTTTGGTCATGATTGATGATCCGGTAGTTGCTGGTCTCCGACACCAAAGGAATATTATTGATCTGCCTCCATTCTCCTCTGACTGGATTGTAGACCTTCATGACTGGGATGTCACAGATACAATAGATCTCATCATTGAAGACACAGGCTTCCTGAAAGTCATGGCGCTTAAGGGAAACACACTTCAGCCACATATTGTGATTAGGATCGTAGCAAAACATGCGCTTACTGTTGAGAGCGTAAAGATAGTTCTGAATTACCATTAGGTCAAAGGAGATAAAAGAATGGGGTAGTGGAGCCACCAGTGCCCACTGGTTTCGCTGAACACTGTAGCATTCCACTTCCTTCAATTTAAGTCCAGTAATAGGGTCTCGGCCACCCAAGATGTAAATGTAGCCATTGAGGTAAGCCACATCCATGCCCTCACGACAGAGCAAGCGATCTGCAAGTTGCTGCCAACTATTCTGGGCTGGTTTATACACCCACAGGTCTTTCCTGGGCTGGGCAGCTAGGTAGATGTCATGGTCCGGAGAGATACAGACGGCTAAGGTGGTTACAGTTCTAGTGTGAGCAAGGCAGGTCAAAGGCGAGGGCACTTTGTAAATATCCCCGGAATAGGGGTCACAGCACAGAAAGGGATCTCTAGGGTGACCAAAGAAAATCACCATCTTCTTGGCACACACACCCAACCTGTGGGGTGGATTTTCTCCTGCATATACAACAGAGCTGCTGCTGCTGCTGCTGCTGCTACAGCTACTGCTGCTGCTGCTGCTGCTGCTGCTGCTGCAACAACTGCTGCTACTGCAGCTGCCGCTGCCGCTGCCACCGCCGTCGCCACCGCCATCGCCACTGCCATCGTCTGGCTTTGGCACCACAGACTTGTACATCATGTCACCATATCGCATCTGCACAGCCCCTTCAATAAGGTCCAGACAGTACTTCTTCACAGTGGTGTTGGTTAGCAGCCCTTTCAGGTAATCCTGATCTTCATCAGCGAAGTGTGTCCAGCGGACACACTTGAAGACTTCCGCAGCGCTGGGACCCCGCTCCTTGGGAGCCGCCTCCAACCACTGCAGGGCAACGTGACACACTATCTGCTCCTGCTCTATGTTTAGACTGTCCAGGCGCAGGACAGCCAGCAGCTGGGTCAGGGTCAGATCTGCCAGAGTCTCCTCCCGAATCGGACCCATCTGGCTGAGCTGCTTGAAGTTGTGGGCGATGAAGGCCTGGGCCTGCGACCGCAGCTTGCGGTGGCCGAAGGCGTCAGCGAACTTGAGGATGGCGGTGCAGTTGGCCAGGTCCAGGCGGCGGGCCAGGAAGGAAGCGCAGGCTTCCCGCACGTACTCGAGCTGCAGCATGTCGGAGGCCGCGTACAGGCGTTCCACGTTGGCTTCACTCAGGGACACGCGGCCGGTGTAGCAGTATTCGACCAGCACCTCAAAGGACTCGGCGTCCACGTCGTGCAAGGTCACGTTCGCCTGCTGGCTCTCGTACATGCCGCCGGTGAACATGCTCTTGAAGTAGGGGCAGGCGGCGGCCAGCACGTTTCGGTTGCAGGAGAAGAGGCGGCCCGTGCCAGGCCCGCTGCCGGGCGTCACCACCTCGATGGTCACGTCGCACAGCAGCCGGGAGTCGTAGAAGGACTTGAGCTGCGCCAGCAGCGCGGCCGAGTGGGCCGTGTCCTTCAGCTCCTCCGGGCCCGTGAAAAAGGCCGACACCGTGGGCTTGTGGACCCTCTTGGGCCGTTTCCCACCGCGGGGGCTGGCGAGGCGGCGGGAGCGCGGAGCGTCTTCCCGGGCCTGCATGGTGGCGATGGCGGCGGGTGCCGAGGGCGAGAACGGGGCGCTAAGCTGGGACCGGGTTCTGGCTTCTCCTCACCCTGCGGTTGCGGGCTCAACGATAACGGTGTCTCCGGAGAGACAACCACACGAGTCCATCTACCTGACTCAGCCCCGTGCCAAGGTGCCGCCTGCCTTTATCGCGTTAGACCGCGCCAACTCACCCGTGCCCAGTTCCACGCCCGTCCTCCGCCGCAGCTCGCTCACACGGAACCGCGGTCTGACACGGAGAGCCGCTGCCGCAGCGCTGGCATGGCAGGACCGCTAGGCGTCCGGGAGAACTACGATGCCCAGGTGGCCTTTCGCGCCTCGAGGCATGCCGGGACCGCCAGACCTGCGGGCATAGGCTCCTGTGCGGACGCGGCTTGGCGTGTCGGGAGTAGTAGTTTCCATAGTATCGCGAGATTTATCTGCCGTTCATGGTTTCCGCTGACGAAATTAAAAATAACTAATTTTTCTCGATTCCGATTTCGTGTTATGATAGAACTTTGCGTTTGGAATACAAGTTAGGCTCCCGTTCCAGTATTTATTAGTTGTTTGCCTTCTCTCTTGTAGTGTTCTTTTAAGATTACATGACCCGGCCGGTGTGTTCAGCGGTGGATCGTAGACCGGGAACCAAGGTTCACCCCTTCGGTTCCGGGTCAGGGCACCCGTCCCGGTTGCAGGCTTGATCCCCCGTGAGGCGATCGAGATGTTTCTTTCTCCGCATCTCCCCTCCTCTCTCTAATTATAAATAAAAACATTTTAAATATATATTTTTCTCGATTTCGGACAGGAAGTGAGAGAAAGAAATATCAATGATGACATAGAATCATTGATCAGCTGCCTCCTTCATGCCTCTGACTGGGGATGGAGCCCACAACCCCGGATATGCCCTTGACTAGAATCCAACCTGACCCTTCAGTCCTCAGGCTGACTATCCATTGAGTCAAACCTAGGGCTAACATTTTTTTTTTCTTATAATGAGACAAATTGCATAGGATACATAGGATTGTCTGAATATATATTTGTTCTTACATATTAGTAGAATAATAATAAGTACTTGCGCAGTTCCTAAAGTCTAAAGTTTCCGTGTTTTAGCTTTTCTTAGCATCTATGAAAAATGAAGTACCTACTCATTTGAATTCATTGGTCTATAAGGGAAAAAAAATTTCTTTTTAAATTAATCCTCACCCAAGGGTATTTTCCATTGGTTTTTTAGAGAGTGTGGAAGGAGGAAGGGGAAGAGGGAGGGAGAGGGAGAGAGCGTGCGAGAGACAGAGACAGAGAGAGGGGGGGGGGAGGGACGGAGGGAGAGAGGGGGAGAGAGAGGGGGGGAGGGAGGGAGAGAGAGAGGGCGAGGGAGAGAGAGAGGGAGAGAGAGAGAAGGAGAAAGGGAGAGAGAGAGAGAAAGAGAGAGAGAGAAAGGAGAGAGAGAAACAGAGAGAGAGAGAGAGAAGAGAGAGAGAGAGAAAAAAAACATTGATGTGGCCGAAACCGGTTTGGCTCAGTGGATTAAGCGTAGGTCTGCAGACTGAAAGGTCCCAGGTTCGATTCTGGTCAGGGGCATGTACCTTGGTTGCGGGCACATCCCCAGTAGGGGGTGTGCAGGAGGCAGCTGGTCGATGTTTCTTTCTCATCGATGTTTCTAGCTCTCTGTCCCTCTCTCTTCCTCTCAGTAAAAAATCAATAAAATATATTTTAAGTAAATAATTAAATAAATAACATTGGTGTGAAAGAAACACATTGATTGGTTGCCTCCGATGGGGGCAGGAGATCAAGCCTGCAAGCAAGCCCTTGACTAGAATTGAATCTGAGACCCTTTAGTCCACAGCCATTGCTCTATGCACTGAGCCAAATCACCTAGGACTGGTGTGGAGTCTTTAAGATATCTTCTTTCACCGAAACCGATTTGGCTCAGTGGTAGAGCGTTGGTCTGTGGACTGAAAGGTCCCAGGTTCGATTCTGGTCAAGGGCATGTACCTGGGTTGCGGGCACATCCCCAGTAGGGGGTGTGCAGGAGGCAGCTGGTCGATGTTTCTCTCTCATCAACGTTTCTGGCTCTCTATATCTCTCCCTTCCTCTCTGTAAAAAATCAATAAAAATATATTAAAAAAAAAAAAGATATCTTCTTTCACTTAGCAATACTCATTTCAGTTTCCTCTTGACTTTTTATGGCTTGATAGCTTCTTTCGTTTTGTTAGTGAGTAATATTCCATGTGAGGGAAGGTCAATGACTTGGGCACCTACCTGAGCAGGTATTCTTTATTTTATTTTTATTTTTTAAAATATATTTATTGATTTTTTTTTTTTAACAGAGAGGAAGGAAAAGGGATAGAGAGTTAGAAACATTGATGAGAGAGAAACATCGATCAGCTGCCTCCTGCACACCCCCTACTGGGGATGTGCCTGAAACCAAGGTACATGCCCTTGACCTGAATCGAACCCCGGGACCCTTCAGTCCGCAGGCCAATGCTCTATGCACTGAGCCAAACCAGTTTTGGCGCAGGTATTCTTTAATCCTTGTGGAAGGATAGAAAGAAGCAAGAAAAATCCCTGGATAAGTGGAATAGGGAAACTGAGACAAGAAAATTAAGCCAACTAGTAAATAGCAAGACCTTATCTCCCTAACCAAGGACAATTGAGAGCCAATAGTTTATACTTCCCCTCCCTAACCAGAGAATACATAGCTTAAATCATCCTCATTTGGAAATAAAGAACAAAGACTCAATCAATGCCATTTGTGTCAGCTAAACCTAAGGACAAATAAAGTTGGGGTAACAGCTAACAAAAACCCCATTAGAGCCAGACAGGCCCAAGACAAAAGTAAAATAGACCAAAGAATAATTCAAACACTCTCCTATACACTCATTTTGATGCACCAGCATATTAAAAATACACCTGGAAAATTGATGAATATTCTGCTAAAACCCTTCCCTAAGATTCTCACCTGCATGGCAGGGGAAAAACACACAAAAAGAAAACAAGACAAAAAGTCCTCAGGACAAAGACTCAATATGGCTTGCTCTAGAGCACTCCCATGCCCCATTCCTGGGCTTGAACTTTTTCCTCCTAACTCTAAAGGCCCTAGGAGACTTGCAAGTAGGGGAGCAGTGGGCAGTGGCAGCTAGTCCCAGGTTAACCCCAACCCTATTTCCAACACCCTCTTTTCTCTGACTTCCCAGTGAGCCAAAGCAACCCAACCTAAGCTCATTCCTATTACATTTCTAGAGAGCCAAAGCAGAGCACCACCTAGGCTCTCTCTTGTTGTTCCTTCTGTGCTAAGTCCTTCCTTTGTTTCACTGCCCTAGCTTTAATAAACATACTCTTGAAATCACCTAGACTAGTGGTCAGCAAACTCATTAGTCAACAGAACCAAATATCAATAGTAGAACGATTGAAATTTCTTCTGAGAGCAAAATTTTTTAAACTTAAACTTCTTCTAATGCTACTTGTTCAAAACAGACTTGCCCAGGCCATAGTATTTTGTGGAAGAGCCACACCCAAGAAGCCAAAGAGCCACATGTGGCTCGTGAGCCGCAGTTTGCCCACCATGGACCTAGACTTGTTTTCCAAAATCTTTCCTATACAAAGTCAAGAGCCCACACACTACAGGCCAGTCTCTGGTAGTAACACCTTGACCTCACTCATATTTACAAAGTCTTTCTAGACCTTCATAAAAATAGGGAAGAATCTAGTAATCAATTCATACTGATCTTCAGGGTATATTCCCTTGGGATCTGTAGAAGGTCACCTGGGAAGACACATGGGCATTTTCTTTAATTATCATCAGCTGAACTTAGGGCGTAGGCAGAGCCATGCCCTGAGAATATGGTTTCCTAATTAGGCTGGACATGTCAATCAGTTCTGACTTCATAGCAGCCCAGGGTTGGCAGAGGCGGGACTAGCTATATAAATCTAGGCCTATAAAAATAAATGCACTGCGTGGCTCGAGTCACTGTCTTCCTGCCTCTCCATCAGAGAGGATGACGTCCCATCCAGCTTCCAGCTTTTAAATCTATCTCTTCGTCTTCTTTCTTTCTTCCTATTATTTCTCAATCCCCGGGCACCTCCACTTAGAACTGGTTCGTTCATCTCTCTTTCCACGCTGGACGAGGAAAAGGGAGATCCCCGCCATGTTTGGCCCCCACTGCATCAGGCCCCCACAGGGATCCATGATTTATAACAACTTGTGCCACTACTAATGGGTTCCAGAGATCCCACTTTATTATTTGAAAAGCCAAATGGGCCACTCTTCAAGAGGAACTGCAAATAAAATAAAGCATCTTGACTCTTACATACAGGCTAACACTTTAGGGGAAAGGATTTTTAGAATTCATTCCCACTGTCTTCCTTTAAAAAATGATTGGTCAGCCCTGGCTAGTTTGACTCAGTGGAGAGAGTGTCGGCCTTTGGACTGAAAGGTCCCAGGTTTGATTCCAGTCAAGGGAAAATGCCGGGGTTGTGGGTTCGATCCCCAGTATGGGGTGTGCAGGAGGCAGCCAATCAGTGATTCTTTCTCATCATTGATGTTTCTATCTCTCTCTCCCTCCCTTCCTCTCTGAAATCAATAAAAATATATTTTTTTAAAAATTGATTGGTGAAAAATAAAAGATTGCAGAATACAAAGAGATTAATCTGTCTCTAACTTCAGAAATAGTTTAGAAAATGTTTGGAAGAATTACTCTGATCTGACTTTAAATGACTGAACACTTTCCACCTTAGTCACTAGCTTCATTAAGGCTATGACCAAAAATTAGAGTATTCAAAATATTTTATAGCCCTACCCAGTTTGGCACAGTGGATAAGCATCAGCCAGTGGACCGAAAGGTCCTGGGTTCCATTCTGGTCAAGGCCACATACCTCAGTTGCAGGCTCCTTCCTGGCCCAGGCTCTAGTGAGGGTGCATGCAGGAGGCAACTATGAAGGAGGCAACCAATCAATCTGTTTCTCTCATATCGATATTTCTCTCTGTCTTTCTCTCTCTCTTCCACTCTGTCTAAAAATCAATGGAAAAATATCCTCAGGTGAGGATTTAAAAAAAACATAATATAAATTAGTGAGGTGATCTCTCTCTGAAATACATGCACTAGCTCAACATCACAAGGACTCTGTTGCAAAAAGGACTCTGTTGCAAATCAAAACTATGCAAATTCAAGACTTTACAACTTAATTTGAAGGAAACAAGCTAAGACAATCTGTTCCCTCTAAAATAGGGGTGTCGAACTCAATCAGAGAAGGGGCCAAAATCTAAAATCCAGCCTAAATCGCGGGCTGGATGGTTTACTGAACAGTCATAAACT